TACCCAGCAGCTTGTTCGAGGTGTTTCTTGCCCTCCTGGAAGTTGGGGGCACACCGTGCAGATTGCTTCTGGTTTAATACTGAGAGTGTCCTGTCTCCTGTCCTACCCCTTCCTGAGGTCTGCTCTAGAATGATGGTCCCCTCTGAAGAGACAGTCTGAGCCCCTGTGCAACACCCACTCAGCAAACCAGTGGTCACACCCACGGGGGACATCAAGGGGCCACCACATCTCTCTTCCCGCCCCGCTCACCACCCCACTTACTTGCCTTGCCCCATGACTCTTGCCTGAGCACCTGCTTCCCTTGGCTTCTCCCGTTCTCCCTCACTGAGCTGTTGAAATCCCAAAGGGAACGGCTAGCTAAAACTTGCTGTAACTTCAGCAGAATCGGTTGGCTGGGATCCACTTCAGCAGTCCCAGGAAAAGGCAACGGACTCACAAAAGGTTTCTACAGAGGCAACGTGCCCTATACCCAAGGAGTCTGGGATGTTTAGGTGGAAGCTCCACCTTGGCCCTACCTCTCTCTCTCTCCCTAGACCCTGCCCTGAGAAAGCAGCGGCTCCACCCCGGGAGGGTATTTAAGGTCACCCACAGACCTCCCCTTGTGGTTTTCCCTGGTGGTTTCTCCCCTTCCCCTGGGACCACCCAGGGATGCCCTGCTGTGATTAAACCTGGCCTTACTAATTTGGCCTGATCTGACTGACTACTGAGTGGAGTTACTCACTACCAGGGGATTTTTCCTTTTTGCTTCCCACCATGAGTAGGTCGCCCTGCCTGAATTTTCAGACCTCATTTTAATGTTTTGTAATGTTTCCTCCCAGAATCATAAGTACAGAGTCTGGAGTAAGATCTGTCTGTTAGTCCCTTTTCATTATATAACGAAGTACCTGAGGCCGGCTACCTTAAAAGGAAAAGAGGTTTATTTAGCTCACAGTCTGGGAGACTAAGCATGGCCCAGGCTGTAGTGGGGGGCCCCTGCTGGTTTCTTCATGACAGGGGTTGCCTATGTCATGATTAGTTATTATTTACATTTATCTATTATTATTATATATTTATTATTATAAATATTATTAATATTTAATCTAATAAATTCCTAAAGCCTGGCCTCCACACATTTTGAAGTCAGAGTAAGTTCTTACCCTTAAAATATGTGTGTGTGTATGTATAATTTATTTATTTATATATTTAATTATATATGTACATATAATGTACTTATTGATGGAGATGCCCATGTACTCTCATGTATGTGGGTGGAAGTCAGAGAACAGCCTTTTGGAGCTGGCTTTCTACCTCGACTACGCAGATCCAGGGGGCTAAATTCAGGTCCTAACCTCAGCTGCAAGGCCCTTTACCCACGAAGCCATCCTGTCAGCCCGAGTTCCTACATCCCAGCAGCATTAACCCAAGGCTTCCTGGAGTAAGCGCCTGCCTGAGTTTGGAAAGCAAACCATAGAACCCTGTCTGTTTGTGCGGCTGGTGATGCTTGGTGTCCAAAATCAAATACGCATGGAAAAGTACGTGTCCCTTCTGACAGGCTCATCCTAGTTCTAAAATGTCCCAGGTAGCACCCCTCTCTTCCACCTGCATGCAGCATGCTACCTCTTTGATCCTGTATCTTCCACATCTCCAGAAACAGCTGCCCATGGACCATGCTGCTGAGTTCTGCTGGCAGCTTGAGATGGAGCCTCAGGACACTGTTTCCATTCTCCGATGCCACGCAGGAGACTCCCTCTATGAAGGTGCAGATCAATTTCTCAGTTACAGCTGCTCCTTCTTCACCAGCCTGAAAACCATCCTGCCTGGAAAGGTCCCGGCAAATCAATCCATCATCTCTAAATTCATCTTTGCTCTGCTTCTCAAGACGGGAATACAGTGAAGCCATAGTCTTGGCCACATTGCACAAATGGCCCCTCGCCCAGTTGCTGGGAAAGTCCTCGTTCCCTCTGAAAGGTCACCAGCCAGGTGACAGTCTGCGTTTCTCTCCGCGCCCCTTTCAAGTTCTGCTCCAGCACACTGGGGCTTTTCTGGCTCTTCCAATCAAGCAAGCTCCTCCACATTCCAGGCACAAAACAGTTTGAGAGGCCAAAGAACCACGTGTTGAGGTTCCTAGCCGCAGCAGCCCCACGGCTCAATATCGACTTCCGACTTTTTTTTCCTGTGATAAAATAGTTTCATGAAATCAATTGAAAGGAGAAAAGATGTATTCGGCTGACAGTTCCACTCACTGCAGCAGGAAGAAGCGGCTGCTGGTCATTTCCTCCACAGCCAGGAAGCAGATAGCGATGCATGTCCATGTTCAGCTCACTCTCTCCTTTTCATTCCATGCAGAGCCCAGCCCTGGAACTGATGCCATCCATATTCCAGGTGAGTTTTCTTACCTCAGTTGACCCAATGAAGACAATCCCTCACAGACATGCCCACAGGCCAAGCTAATCTAGACAATCCCTCATTGAGACTACCTTCCCAGATGACTCCAAATCCTGCCAACTTGACAGCTGAAATCAGCCATCACAATATTCAACGTCATTAGTCATTAGGGAAATGCAAACCAAAGCCACAATGAAATACTACTGTACGTCATGTAGGAAAGTTGAATTTTATTATTTTCTTTTAAAGGAAAACAAGTGTTGGTGAGAAGATAGAAAAGTTCAAATTCTTATACCTTAAAAGCAGTAAGGTGAAGTGGTATTTCAATGGATAAATGGATAAACATACTGTGGTATATCTATACCATGGAATATTACTTGACCATAAAAAAGGAATGAAGTAGTGATGTATGCTACAACATGAATAAACCTCAAAATATACTAAACAAAAAAGGTCAAACACCTTTTGTTGTGTTGTATGATCCCACTTATATGACATATCCAAAGCAGGTAAATCCAGAATAACTGGAAGCAGATTGGGAGTTGCGGGGAGCTGAGAGAGAAGACGTGAAAGGGAATAATGCGGAATGACAGCTTAGTGAACACGGCCTTTGTTTTAGGGAACTGGAAGGAAGTGGTGGTTAGGGTAATGTGGGGCATGAACTAAATGCTATTGAGTTTTCACTTTAACAGTGGTTAATTTGGGCTGGGGATACGGTTTATTGCTAGAGCACTTGCATAACATGTACAAGGCCCAGGGTTCAGTCCTCAGCACCAGAAATATGTATTTATATATTTCTGGGCCATATGAAGAGAAGGAGAGGAGGAGGAGAGAGGGGAGAGTCAGGAGAATACAGGGTAGACAAAAGGTTAGGTTAGGTTACCTTCCTAACCAGGTAACCAAAATGGCTGGGTTATATAGGGAAGGGCAGCTGGGGGAAGGGTAGAGAGGGTGTGCCAGCCATACCCTGTAACGGTGAGGACTGAGGAATTCTGGGAGAACCTGATGGCCAGGTCCACTTTGATACATTAAAATAGGCACCTCAGCCCGCTTGTCCCAGGTTTGAGAACTGAAATCTGTGACATTATCTGGCCCAGCTTCTCTCACCCCCCACCCCTTCGCTCCCCCCAACCCCCACCCCCATCATTGTGGTTCTGCAGTAACATGCTCACACACAGCCCAGTCTCTGCTGGGAGACCGTAGTCTCTGGCTTCATTCCCCCAGCCAGTGAAGACCACAAGAGCTGACGAGGTAGAATAGACTTCCATAACCACAAGGTCAGACTTACCCCCTGACCCTTCCTAACCGTTTGCTTAGCTTTACAACCACATAAAAGCAAAGCACTCAGTCACAAATCCAGCTTTGAGCCACTAAATAGGCTCTGGATTACAAACGAAAACTCGTAACCGAAGTAATTCTACCTAGAAGTTTCAGCTTGGCCATTTTAAACAAATAGCCACAGAAAGAAGTGACGATAATCTACCCTTTGTTCTAATTTTAAAATGTGAATAATTAACTTTCCAGGAGGAAGAATAACACAGACCTTTAAGAGCGGTTCAATCTAATAAATGTCCAGTTTAAAAACAGATTAGAACTGCTGGCCCAGACAGCCACCCTGATTTATCACAGTGGTAATTCACATGTGACCAGTTAGTGCCACAGATGAACCGCCCTGCCCAGCGCCTGCACTCCGTGGTCAGGCACCTGAATGCTAGATCACACACACACACACACACACACACACACACACACACACACACACAGAGAGAGAGAGAGAGAGAGAGAGAGAGAGAGAGAGAGAGAGAGAACAGGCATGGTGGCTTATGCCTATATAATCCCAGAACTCTGAAGTCTGAGGCATGAAGAGCACAAGTTCGAATCTAGCCTGGGCAACGTAGCAAAATCCTGTCTCAAAGAATAAAGCAGAACAGAGTCTCCAGGGAAATCACACACAGTTTATTCAGAGGCTGTCCATGCGCTATGAAGCCTCCCTCAAGGCTCCTAAAGAAGGGAGATGGCACGGGAAACGGGAAAGGGGGAGAGAGAAAAGGGATGAGGAGGAAACATGGTAAAGAACTTAGGACAGCAGTCTTAGTCCTTGGTTCCAGAAGTGAATAACCCTGGAGACAGAATGGAGACAACTAAACCTTAACAGACTCTGGCTGGCCTCTGGCAGCACCAGGCACCGATAGGGCCCGGCTTCCTGAGACCAGCTAGGGGCGGGGTGGGGCAATTGGCTCAGTCAGTAAGGTGTTCATTCTGCAAATGTGAGGACCTGAATTCAGTCCCCAAGACCCCTGTGCAAAAGCTGGTCATGGTGGCATACTTGGAACCCCAGCTCCGAGGAGGTGCGGACAGAGAAGAGCTCCCTGAGGCTCACTGGCTAGCCAGCCGACCCTACACGATGAGTTCCAGACCAATGAGAGAACTTGTCTCAAAAAAACAAGGGAGACAGAGAGCTTCTGAGGAGCCACATCCAAGGTTGATCTCTGTCACAGGGCCTAGCCTGAAAGGTTACTGACTTCTTTTGATGTCACGGCAGAAAAATGGGAACACAGCCAATGTTATTGTATTTTTTATTAAAAAATTAAATAAAAATAACAATCCATGAAATATATAAAAGTGGAGTCCATGATTCATGGTGGGGACGGCTCAGACGCTGGGGATGGCTCAGAAGGTGCATCCGTGGGCGTGGCCGGGGCAGTTTCTTTCTCTTCATAGCTAGGGGGCAGATCCAGTGGAAGATGCCCAGGGTGTGAGCTCTCAGAGGGTGAACCCGGCCCAGAAATGGTGTATATGAGTTCCCGTTCTCTCTCAGAGGCTGCGCCCTGGCTCTCAGGAGTTGGGGTCCTTCTGGAAAGAAAGAACAAGATTATGAGAGGACACAAAGAAAGCAGGGACAGCCCTCAGGTACGAGGCTTCTCTGGATGCCATGCTTCCAGGAGCCTTGGCTCAATCTAGGAGCTGTTTCTCCTATAATCCTACGTTGTTGCTGTTGTTGAGACAGGGTCTCGTGATGTAGCCCTGGCTGGCCTTGAACTCACAGAGATCTGCCTGCCTCTGCTTCCCGGGTGCTGGGATTAAAGGCCTATGCTACCATGCTTGCCTATTGTGTTTTATAGATCTGCTTTCATTCCTTACCCCTTAATTTTTTTTCTTTTTACAAAGGGGTGTGTGTGTGTGTGTGTGTGTGTGTGTGTGTGTGTGTGTGTGTGACATGTGCCATACATAGTGCACGTGTGGAGGTCAGAGTTGTCACTTTCAGGAGCTGGTTCTCCCCTTCCACCAAGTGGGTCCCCAGGATTGAACTCAGGTCGTTGGCTTGGCGGCAAACGCTTTGACCCAATGAGCCACCTTGCCAGTCCCTTATCTCTTTTTTTTTTCTTAGAATTTGCTGTAACATTAAGACAGCCTGGCTTCTGTTGTCACTGTCTTTGTCAGTGAAAAGGCTCTAAGCCTAAAGGTTCAGACATCTCCTAGCAACAACTGGTGCGCCCGCACACTGGCACGCACAGTCACTGTCCTCTGAGGAGGATACAATAAGGTATGTGAATACACGCAAATAGAACATTAAAAACCAAACCAACAGCTTGATGGGAGGCAGGAAGGGACACCAGTCACTGGAGAGGCTCCAACGGCAGGGGACTAATTTCAGTTCCACTCTGCTGCTTTCCCAGTGGGTGATCTTAGACACACGATTCACCCTTCAGGAGCCTCCGTTACCTTCTCTACAATATTCTGATGGTAGCAGTAACCTTTCATCTAGAGTGACCATGAAACTCAGAAAATAATGCAAGCAAAAATAGACCCGGAGGTCCTGACATCAATACTACCATCTCAATGGGGACTTTTGTGAAGCCCCTAGACATGGTCTTAAGTTTGGGGAAGTCTATCATCGGAGGGAAAAAATACAGCATTCATTGGTAGATGTCTATCTCCAATTGCCTGGTCTTTCTCCACTGAGCAACATCTGCATTCAGCACCCTGGTCCCCAGCTCACTATGAGACACTCATGAGCCCGCTCCGTCCCCTGGCCATCTCCTTCTCCCTCTCATTAGATAAACTCTCCCCTTATTTTTGTGGCAAACAGGATCCTCAGACAACTTCATGTTCCTCTAAACCTTGACAAAGGGCATGTGTCCTCTGGCCCCTTCAGCAGGCTGCACACACCCAACCTACTCTATTTGATTGCTGAGGTTCTTTTAGCTCCCAGGGCAACCATTGAGTGAACACATATGGGCACCAGGTCCCTAGGGCTTAACCTCTCCTTCTCTGAAAAATGCACACATCTTGCCATCTACCTTCCCATTTTGCCCTGGGATATTTTTCAGCAACATTTCCTTCCCTCACCACAACCCGGGTCCCCAACTCCGTAAGAGTTGGCATCTGGGGGGCCACACACACTGGCCCGTATCTGGCACTGTTGGGAACTCCTACGTGGACACCTTCCACCAAGTCTTAGGAGGTCCATATCAGTGCCGCCTCTTCTCGGTACACCCAGCCCTGAAAGTCTACCTCAAATGTCTATTCTCATGTTCCCCCGACTAGCGGGGAGCCCTGATCCTCTCCTAGCCTGTGTGCCCTTCTTCACCACTATCCCCGTCACTCACTCTGGAGATCAGTGTCCTCCCTCTTCCTTGAGACCAGCCCTTCCTCTTACCCTCTCACTGTGTCTTAGGTTCTTGCTGCCTCAGGCCTGTCCCATGAGAATCTCTTTGCTTTGGATGTGGAGTGGGGCATGGATCATCTATCTCTCTCCAATCATCCTTCAAAGCTCTGAGGCCCAGAGGCTATCGAACATGGAGAGAGAGGCCCAGCTGGGCCAGGTCAGAGCCTCCTCCATTAGAATACTGAAATCCTTCTGAGCATGTCTCCTGGAGCCTTGAACCTCTCTGCCATCTGAAGCAGCAACACTAATCGAGCAGAGGCCTCCAGCCCCTGTGGCAGCTGCCTGTGTGACAGATGTGTAGTTATCGGAACAATAAAGATGCTCAGAGGTTTCCTAGCAATCCTTCATCACTCAGCCTACGAGCTACCCAAGGCTTCCTGGCTGAGTGTGAGCATCAAGGCAGGAACTCTGGCATACCACCAGATCCTCGGCACCCTAACGTCAACACAGCCTTAGAGCTAGGCTGGCCTGAATTTAGGCCTAGTTCTGGAACGGCTACACATGCCCACTGGTGGGGAAGGGGAACTCTTACCTGTGGTTAAAAAGACTGCAGTAGGAAGGTGGGTTTTCAGCCCGGTGGTACAAGCTATTCGCCCCAGGAGGTCCAGTGCCCGAGGAAGACTCCGGAAAGTAAGGCGGTGGAGGGGGCGGGAAAATTATCACCGAGTCACCTGGGGAAAACACAGAGCAACAAGTTAGAAAAAAAAACAAAATTAATGGCTTCTCTCTTGCCATCCCCCGCCCCCCTCACACACCATAAAAGGTCAAAACAGCCCTGTGCGCTCTGGAATGTGAAAGTAGGCCTGTGACGCTTCCATGTGGAGTAGACTAGGTTTCGGTTGGGAGGGAAGGGGGTTGAGCTGCTAACAGGTGTTTCTGTTTGGGAGGAAGGGAAGATTCCGGAAGCTGATGGTGATGGTAGTGTTGCAATATCTTGACTATATTTAATAACATTACATTGTATATACTGTATATTATACAAACAGATATTCATATCCATATGTATATAACATTACATTGTATATAGTGTATATATAAACTGTATATACTGTATATTTAAAACAGTTAAAATAGGGCTGGGGGGATAGCTCAGTCAGTACAGTACTAGCCTCACAAACAGGAGGACCTGTGTTCAAATCCCCACATCCATGTAAGACCCTGGGCAGAGTGGCACGTGCCTGTAATCTCAGGGAGGAGGAAACAGGAGGGTCCTTGGGGTTCACTGGCTAGCCAGCCTAGCCAAATCAGAAACCTTTTGTGACAGTTGTAATGCCCGTCTCCAAAAAATAGGATGCCATGTGACTGAGGGAGACACCCAACATCAACATCTAGCCCTCATCTGCACACACGTGTGCATGCACATATGAAGGCACACATGTACTCACATAACACAAAAGTAAAAGAAAATTAAAAATGGCTAAGCCAGGAAGTTTATTGTTGTTCTGTTTTTTTTGTTTGTTTGTTTGTTTTGGTTTTCTTTTTCTTTTGTTTTGTTTGAGACAGGGTCTCACTGTGTAGCCCTGGCTGGCCAAGAGCTTGATGTGTAGACCAGGCTGGCCTCCAACTCACAAAGATCCGTCTACCTCTGCCTCTTGAGTGCTGGGATTAAAAACATGTGTTACTATGCCTGGTCCTGAAATACTAAGCTTTGGGGTACATACAGATTACCACATTTTTTTAAGTTTGCCTATAATTCAGTCTTGAGTTCTCCGGTGGCAATACGGAGTCGGCCTCTATCAAGCACGCCTGAGCTAACGCATTTGTGAGAATCAATAGCAAGCTCCCTCAACTTTCCCAGGGATGTCTTCTGTTGAGAAAGGTTTTCTTGCTTTCTAGTGATAATCTTAACTCATCAAAATCCAGCTGCTGGATAAAGCGCAGAGTTGCTCCAACACAGCACTCCGCACACGTGGCAACGGGCCATGTTGAGCCCCACCTCCGCCGCAGCCGCACGGGTGCAGTCAAACTTTTAAGAGTTTGGTTTAGTATCCCTGTTCACTCTAGAACACACCCCTGTGTTCTGAGGAGGAGGAACGAGGGACCAGAACTAAGTTGTCTCCCAATTCCAATCCTTTACGATTCACGTGCATGGCACGATGACCATTGTCCAGAACATTCTAGACAGGTCGCAGCTCTGCTGTCAGAAGACTGAGGAAGGATGGACTCTGATAGGCCGGCACCACCAGGTGACAGTGCCAGGAAGAGGTCGGAAAGAGAACTCCACTTCCATATAGGGAAGAGACCAGTTCACACTAGTGACTGGACGTCTAAAAAACCATTTGCCAGGGACCAAGCCAGCATAGCCCTGAGCAAACTCAGAACTCCCTGGCCTCGGCTGCCACAGCTGCCAGCTGCACAGAACAGCACCTGTCTTGGAGGACAAAAAGGACAGGTTGTGGCCACTTGAGTCCAGTGTTAAAGTGCCACCTCACACAGAGCAAACCTTGGGCCAGTGACACCTGGCGATGGCACCTTCGTCTCTGTCACCAGCTAAGGGCATTTGTTTGTCTGATGAAGAAACACTTCCAGCTGGCAGTCTCGGCCCCACCCCCCCACCACCACCACCACTGCCTCAGCCATTTCCCAGAAGTCACAGAGATGCCCAGAAAATGGATGAAGTCCTACTGTCCTGAGAAGAGAGGGCGGGTGGACCCCTGACCTGCTGAAACTTGACAAACTGGAAAGGTTCCCTTTGGATTCATCTGAGTTTTAGAGGACATTGTTGGTGGGGCTGTGGAGATGGCTCAGCAGTTAAGAGCATGTACTGCTCTTTCAGACGCTCCAAGTTAGGGTCTCAGCACCAGCAGCGAGCAGTTCATAACTGCTTGTAACTCCAGTTCCAGGGGATTCAACACCCTCCTCTGACCTCCTCAGGCACCTCCACATATATCCCTACAAACACACCCACATCCCCCCCACACACACATACACACTACTACTACTAATAATAATAATAGTAATAATAATAATAATTCTTAGTTGGGAGTAGCAGCACATGCCTTTAATCCCAGCACTAGGAAGGCAGAGGCAGGTGGATCTCTGTGAGTTTGAGGCCAGCCTGGTCCACATAGTGAGTTCCAGGACAGCCAGGGCTGTAGAGTGAGACTGTGTCTCAAATATAAATAAATGGATAAATCTTAAAAAAACAAACAAACAAAAAAACCAAGGAAGCTCTTAGTAGGCCTAGGAGCTGAAATCAAATGCTCACTTTAACTATATACTGTAGTGTAACAGACCTGTGAAGCAAGCCCACAGGGCAGACCTTCTTACAGCCTGCTTTTCACGTGTGTGTGTGTGTGTGTGTGTGTGTGTGTGTGTGTGTGTGTGTGTGTTTGGTGGTGGGTTATCTGTGTGCTTGGGTGTGCGTACATGTATGAGACAGAGAGGAGTTGAGTTGAGAAGAGGAATCTAGACCAGACCTAGGGAAGCCTGGGGAGGCCTTAAAGCAACGCCCACTGAGACTTGAGCAAGCATACAAACGACCAACACTCACCAACAGTGATATGGACCGGCTCTGTACTGTGAGCGTGTCCCCCTTCAATTTCAGAGGTATCTCGGCTGGAACTCAAGTTGTGTTTCTTCTTAACGTGGGCCACCACAAAGAAACACAATCCCACAAGCACAATCAAGGGCCCCATGATCTGCAGAGACAGGAAGCCGCAGATCTGGGGCTCTGTTTCTCCCGTGTCCGTCTCATTCAGCGGCTCCCGTTCCCAGTCTGTGCTGCATCCAGGCACCCAAATGCCCAGGATGCTGATGAGCATGCCACTGGTCAGGAACAAGAACCCAAAGATGAGGCATTGGGCAAACTGGCGGCTCTCTCCACAGATGAAGGATTGGTCAGGGTCCTGGAGGCCTCGCCGCTGCCCCTCCCGCAGATGCAGTCGTGCCCGGGAGCGGGCCAGAATCACAGCCCCCAGCCCAATCACTGCGCACGATGGGCCAGCAATCTTTAGCACCATGTTGCAGTGTGAGAGGGCCTTATATTGGCATGCCTGGTAGCCAAAGATGGAGAGCAGGACTCCCACACACAACAGGACCGCACCGAAGAGGAAGAGGAAGAAAATGAGCTTGCTGACATGCCTGTCCCTCTGGTCCCCATCTGGCTCAGCCGTTCCTACAGAAGACATGGCCAGAAAAGAAAAAAGGCTTCCTCGTTGCTCCCTGCCGTGAAGCAGAAATGTGTTTCCTTCTCTCCCGAAGTTTCAGGCTCTGCAAACAACAATAAATGCAAAATTACAACGGATACAGCTATCTATGACCAGCTCTGATCTCTTGCTGGCCATTGCAGAAATCACAGAAGGGTGACCTGTTAGGAGGTAGAATGTTATGCAATTGGCCTGCTGTAGAACAATGACTGGGCCTATGAGTCAGGAGAACTGGCATCCAAAGACTCCCAAATGTGTAATTTCATGAATATATCAAAAAAGAGGAAATTCAATTACCATGCTTCTGAGATAAGGAAATCTTTTTAAAAATAAATAAGATGACTGGGTGTGGCTTTTCCTGTTCTGAGTCTTACAAACTCATTTCTCCAGGCCAATGAAATAATAATAATAATAATAATAATAATAATAATAATAATAATAACAATAATAATAACAATAATAATAGTGGCAGGTAAGGGAAGAGCCATGAGGATAATTTCAGACATACAGCTGTCCGGTATCGTATCAGAACTGCTCTGAGAATTTGGGTAAATTTTTGTCCAATAACTAACTACCCACTTCTTGTTTAAGATTTCCCCAGCTTTTCACTTCTCACTTTATTCTAAGGCTGCATCCACACACGACCCAACGCCCGCAGTTTCAACAGGACGGAAAGGTAGTTCAGAAGGACAGTGGGTTTGTGGACTTTTAAGTTAACTCTGTCAAAATGTGATTCTAGGATTCTCAAGATGCCAACCCTAAGGCTGCCCAGACACTCCACCCTCACTGGCAGCTCAGTGTCTGGACCCTGGCATGACCTGAGAAAATCTGGCACAACAGGTAAAGTCCAGCCCTATGGCAGAGGTAGACGGTGCCCTCAGGTAGGCGAGCAGACCAAGGCGGGTGGCTAACACTCATCCTCCTCCACAGTGCCGCCCACTTCCATGAGGCTTAGACAATAAAGGCTCACAAACTTGCTGGGAAAACAGAAGTGTCCAATGGAAAAAGCTCCTTGTACAAAGCCACAAAAGGCCAGTACTTCAAGACTATTTTATACTCATACTAGCTGGACATGTGGCACACGCCTTTGATCTCAGCACTTGGGAGGCAGTAGGCGGATCTCTGGGTTCGAGGTCAGCCTGGTCTACAGAGTGAATTCCAGGACAGCCAGAGAGAGCTACATAATAGAGAGACCCTGTCTCAAAATAAAACAAAAACAAAAGAGTATTGTATACTGACGTCGCCAAGCAGTGGTTAAAGGGTATGCTGGTTCACACAGCATTGGTTTTGAACCAGTGACCTTGTTTCACTTGAGTGAATGGGAGTAAGGGTCCTTACTGTACCACTCACGAACACAATCCAAATAGAGAAAACTTTAAAATGTGGGGCTGGGGAGATGGCTCAGTGGTTAAGAGCACTGGCTGCTCTTCCAGAGGACCCAGGTTCCATTCCCAGTACCTACATGTCAGCTCACAACTCTCTGTAACTCCAGTTCTAGGGAATCTGACACCCTCATACAGACATGCATGTAGGCAAAAACACAATGCACATGAAATAAAAATAAATAAGTTAAAAAAAAAAACTTTAAAACGTAACTTGCCGTTCACATTCATGAACTCACATGAAGGAGTTCATGGCCAAGACCTAGACAAACTAAATCGTGTAAAAAGGTGATTTGGGGTAAAGATAGTAATCAATTGATGCCACCATAGGAAGCACTTCCCCCCCTCACCCCTCCCCAGGAAAGTGCGATAGAATCAGAAGAAAGAAAGGGAAGGGGGAAAAAAGGAAGCAGATGAGGCAAGCTTTCCTCTCAAACTTGGAAAAGACACATTCCATGAAGATGCTGTTAAGATGGAAGATCTAAAGCATCGTGCTAATTCAAAACACACCTTCCCTTGAATCACGTAACCTTACTGCTGCTTTCCCAGATAAGGACTGCCTCAAGTTCTGTTAGGAACTCACTGGGTTCTTGGTGTCTTCAGCTTTGCAGCGAGTCGTCGCGGCCCTTAACTCTTAAGGCAAGCTCCCAAACACCAACAATATAAACAGAAGAAGCCCCAAACTAGATTTGCAGTTTCTTTCCCCTAGGACGCCTAGCACATTTGTTAGTCCCTGATCCAAACTAAGGTGGGGATCGCCTCAGCGCCCCGCTTAGGTGCGCTCAAAACACGGACACCCAGGGGCATCCACATAGATGGAAAATTACCTAAGAAACCGAACCCTCTCTACCTTAAACTGTTTCCAAAGCCAACCCCACAAAGCCAGATCCGCTCATAAACACTCCTTTGGTTTTTCCCAAAGCCAGTCCCAAATCAACAGCATCTCTCTGCTTCCCACGTTCGGGAGAGTTGGCAAAGCCAGGCCAGGAGAGGCAAATGTCTCCGCAGGGAGTTGCTGCGGTTCCCGGGGTGCCGCTTACCTGAGCTGGTCCTGGGACTCTCCGCCGTACGCCTGACTTCCACGCACACCCTCTGCGCGTCCGGGCGCGGAGGGCGGGTCGCCTCCGTGTGCACAGGGCCAGGCGGTGCCGGGTCCGTGGGCACGGCGGCCGGGCGGGGCAGGGCAGGGCTGACCGGTGGGAGCTGGCCGCTGCCGGGTGCTGCCCTCCCTGGGCCTGGGCGCGCCGCGCCCGAGCGCAGAACTAAGGGCGGCTTTGCGGCCCTGGGACGGTAAGACTTGGCGGAGCACCCGAGGGACGGGGGTGGGGGTGGAGAGCCAGATTGGCCCGCTCCACCAAGCTGGGGGGTACCAGCGAGTTGAGATTGTCCCCCTGGCAGCCCGGACTGCGTGGCAGGCAGCTGGGAGGAGAGCTGGTCCCTTTGCAGCCTAGGTGCAGACAGAGCTCCCGGGGCTGCCGGAGAGCCCCGGCAGAGCAACAGGGAAAGCCAGGGATCCCAGTCTGCGACTGAGCCTGGGCCCCGTCGTCCGCCGCCACTGCTGATCAGAAGTCAGGTGGCCGGTCCTTCTACTGCTCTGAGATCTCGACCTGGAGAGGTCACTGGAGCTAGCGCCCCGCAGGGAGCTTTCAACAACAGGATATGGGAACACCTGGGCCCGCTAGAGAGTGAGACAGGGGACCTCGTACTTTAGCATTCAACCTGAGGGCCTCGCTCCTAGACTGAAGTGGATCCCCCATCCAGCCCTGTAGTGTGCCACCTCTGTCCGGTCCTGGTCATATATGTGTGTGCTCACAGCCCTCCTTTGCCATAAAACACCCTCCCTGGTGCTCCAGGGATTAAGCTGTTAACTTTCCCTGACCTTGAACGCGAGTTTCTGATGGGGTTTGCTAATCCCCGTGCTATTTGTAACCTGCCCCGTGACACTTGACAAGTATCCAACTGTGCTAGTTTCCACACCAGAGGTCAGACCGCTGTGAGAAGTGAGTCAAGCGTGCTCTGGACCCGAACACAGAGGCGCCCAGAGCTCTGGGGACTTCCCCACTCAAGCCTTTTCTCCCTAACTTCCTGTCTCCTTGAAAGCCCATCCATCCTAACCCTATAGATGAGTTAGGTAAGAAGAGGTGAAGAAAGGAAGTGGGGGAGGGAGGGGGGAAGCGGGGAGCTAAGAGGGAGGGACGGAGAGTTACCTGAACTTTGGGGCTGATGGAATGGGAAGGGTGAAATGGGGGTTCACCGAGGAGGTTCACAGCCACGGGAGGGGGGCACTTCTCTAAGGGGCCAGATGTGGTCTTTCTCACAGCCAGGGTGCTCTGAGCACTGAGTCTCTGTCTTACATAATGGTTAGTACCAGCATTCAGCACCCAGAGGGCTCTGCGGAGTCCCTGCCTTATACCTGCAGCCCATGGCTCCCTACTGTGTGTCTCCAGCTCCCTGGGGCAGGTTGGGGTCATAAGTGGGTGGGGATCTAGCAATCCTGTTGATTCAGTGAAGGAACTGAAGCCCAGAGGTGAACTGGCCACTGCATCTGCTTGCACGGGGCAAGCAGCCAGATGTGCTGAAAACTCAACGTTCTTCCCTGAGCTCGCCTGTCACCCAGAGAACCCACATGCCGTGAACTTGGAGAATGCTTTTATTACATGGTCTTGTGATGCCAGGGAGGGACCTGTACAGATCAATAAAAGAACTATCCCAAGGACATTGCAGTCATCCAATGCCTTGGGTGGGGCTATCTTGGTCAAAGTGTCGAGCTACACCAGTCATCCTCTAGAAGGGCACCAAGGTATGTCCAGTTAATGGGCAGAGAACTACCAGTGGTTATTGCACAATAGTGGTGAGGCCGGGACTTTCTAAGAACTCAGGCCCTCACGAAGGAGTAGCCCCCTTCAACCCAGGCCTGCTCTTCACTGCACAAAACGGATCCATGTCCACTGCCCACTCCACTCTTCCCTGCTCGCCTATTTGAAAGTCAGCCTCTGGCTGAGTCCTGTGCGAGCCTGCAAGGGGCCTGTTGATACAGCTGCCCCTCTGGTGCCACATGACTTTGGGCTCGCCACCCATGACAGACTTGAATGTCCTGGCACCAAGGACAATCAGATTAGCTCCCCCTGGGGACAGTCGCTGTTTGTGTCTTTTGGAGCCTGCTTGACTAAATCAAAGCTTTGGAAACTGATGGTCATCTGTCAAGTATGACTTCCTTCGCCGTGCTTGTCTTTAGATCAGGCCTGGTCTTGGGAGAGAGGCCGCACGATCCAAAAGCTGGTCCTCCTCCCCAACCTGGAGGCGGTGAGAAAAGGTGCACCCAGACGGAACCCTTAGAAAAACAGCATCAACACGAAATTTTAAAACTGAGTGAAGCAGGCATGGGTAGTGAAGGGCTATAATCCTAGCCCTTGGGTGGCTGAGGATCATGAGTTCAAGGATGGCCTGGGCTCCATAACAAGTTCCAGGTGAACTTGGTCTACATAATGAGACTTCAGATAACAAAACAATACAAAACAAACCTTTGGATGTCCCTCAGATCCACCCAGTCCCTGAATACAGAAGGACTAAAGCAGAGGTGAGCATTCATTTACTCACCCAGCAACTATTTACTGAGAATTCAATGGGGGAGACAAGGATTTAGAAAGCCAAGGGGACCTACGCCTGGAGGAGAGCCGTTCTTAATGGAGTGAGTGAATGGTGGAGGTGTCTGCACAGGCGGCGCCGTAGCACACACTTGTTGGGAATGAGGAAGCCGTGCACTGTCTATGATCGTATAACAAACGGCCCCCAAACACAGACGCTGAAAACAATAGAGTTACTGTCTCCCACAGTTTCTGAGGGTCACGAAGGAGGTCAGTTTCTGGGAGTGGCTTCGCCGGGTGGTTCTGGTTTGAGGGTCTCTCCCAAGGCTGCAGTCACATGGTGGGCCAGAATGGCAGGTATGTGTAGGTGTGGCTGGGGCTGGAGCAGCAGCTTCAGGGTGGCTCACATCCCCAGTGCCAAGTGCCATCCCTTTGGCAGAACTGCAAGAATGTCCTCACCATGGGGCAGTCGGGGGTCCCTGCGGGAGGCACGCCAGAAAGAGCCTGAGGAGGGACGATGCAGGGCCTTCCATGTCCTCTGGATTGAGCCACTAAATCAAGGGAAGGAGAATTCGGTTGCATGTCAAAGGGCCTGTGGGGGGCAAGTTCTGTAATATCTGGGAGAAGAGGAGAAGAATACTTTAGGCAGAGATAACAGCAGTACAGGGGCTGAAGAAGGAACTCTGTGCTGGCTACTCTTCCCAAGGACCCAAAGTGGAGTTCAGTTCCCAGCACTCCCATTGGGCGGTTCAGGACTACGTGGAACTCCAGTTCCAGGGGATTGGACACCTTCTTCTGGCCTCTTGAGGCACCAGGACACACATGGTAGATACACACATAGACATACACACATAAATAAAATAAAAATAAACCTTAAAAAAACAACGGGGGCGGGGGACAGAGAGACGGTTCAGCCATTAAGAGCGCTTGCTGCTCTTGTGGAGGTCCCAGGTTCCGTTCCTAGGGCCTATGTGGCAGCTCACAACTGTCTTTAACTTTTTTCAGAGGCACCGATGCCCTCTTCTGGCCTCTGCCAGCATCAGACACACACCTGGTGCACAGACACACATGCAGGCAAAATACCCATACTCATAAACATTTTTTAATAAAAAAAAAAAAGCACAAAAGCTCTGAGATGATGAGCATGGACGTGTTTGGAGAAGAGCGGGAGGCAAGGGTGGCTGAAGTGGGTGAACACAGGGATGAAGACCTTAGAAGAGAGAGGACACATGGGCCACAAACTGAGCACAGTGGGGGCTCAGGAACACCAGGGACTCCAGGAGGCAAAGGCCGCCAGCTTGTATGGGGCCTTGAAGGTCACTGTGAGAAGTCTCAGTACAGAGGATGCCTGGACTGGCTTTTGAGCATAGTGTAGGATCTGATTTTATTTTTTGAGATGGCCTCTCATGGGTAGATCTGGAGCTTATAGGTTATAGGCTCAAGTAATCCTCCTGCCTTAGCCTTCCAAGAAGTTAGGGCTGCTGTTTCATTTATTTAAAATTTAATTTAATTTATTTTGTAATGCTGGATAATAATTTCAGGGCCTTACTTATACTAGGCAAGTACTCTAAACTGAGCCATATTTAGTTTTTTTTTTGTTTTTGTTTGTTTTTGCTTTTTTAGTTTTTAAGGGGTGTGTGTGTGTGTGTGTGTGTGTGTGTGTGTGTGTGTGTGTGTGTGTAAGGTTATGTGTACATGTGCCCATAGTGGCCTGGGAGGTCTTGGATCCACCAGTTATAGGTGGTTGTGAGCCATCCAAAATAGGTAGCGGGAACCATGCTTCAATACTGTTTTCAAGACTCCCAGATACTCCCCTGAAACTGCCTCGATTGATCCAGCCACCCAGCTTCACAATGGATGCTGCCAGTATTCCTGGGGTATTTTCTTTTCTCCTCAACCCAGGAGCCTGAAACATGGGTAAGAGGTTGACTGATGGGCATGTGAGAATTTAAGGTTCAGGCTGAGTCCCCCAACTGATCCTCACACAAAGGCAACCCTCTGCAGTCACTTGACAGCCTGGATGTCTGATTTCGCATGGCTGATACCAGCTCTGCCTGAGTGCCTGGTCACCTCACCAGGAGTGTGGAATGCACGTATTTGTTTCAGGAAGAGAGAGTTCACCTGAAGCACGCCTGGCCTTACTGTAGTCAACCTTTCGGCACTTATTCAGGGGAGAGACTCCCCCCAGCACACACATAGTACCCACAGCTTCTGCTCTAAGGGCTAGAAGAAACCAATTTGTTGAAAAGTCTGAAGGAAAAAACGGTGGTTTCCTGGCATGTGGTATTGTTCGTTCAATTCTCCGCTGCCTACTGGACCCCAAGGAATGAATGGTTTCTTCCCAGCATATAAAAAGGGGATTAGACAGGCTGGATTTTGCTGTTGCCTTCATTACTTTACTAATTGCATGGACTTGGGCAAGTAGCAGGTTCCCTGTGCCTCTCAGCCCTCATCCATGTTACAGGATCAACGAGACCTACCAGAAAGGCTAAGTATGAGGCAGGTGGAGGATGTCAACAAATGTATTTCTTTTTAACCCCCGTGGTTACTCAGGAGAGCTGAGGATGCCCACAGAGATCAAAATGAGATCTATCATGGTGGTTCTCAGGGCCTGGTTGCTGTGGCTTGAGCTAACTCCTACAGCATCCCTCCCAGTTCCTTCTGGGCTTGAGAGGTGTGCTTTGGATGGCTGCAGAGACCAACATGCCCGCCTGGTCACCCTCTGTTTCTGCCTTTGTGTTAGCTACATTTCTAGAACTTATGAAAGGTGCCTGGTTTCCCCAGAGGGTCGTGTGATCTTACAGCCAGCCCATGGCCGGGGCTCGGGTTCTACCTGCCCCGCTTCTCCCAGGTCCTTCTCTGTTGGTTGTAGCCCCATCTCCAAATTCTCTGTCCAGCCCCTCCAC